TCTCCCAAAGTTTGCTCGAATTCATGTCCATTGAATCAGTGATGCTATCTAACCATCTCATCCTCTGTTTAACATATGTCCACAAATTCTACCATACTCCTCCTCAAGACAGTGTAGCTTAACTCCCGCACTCTGGGTGAAGACTGGGAATGTTCCGTATCTGGACCTGAGTAATGGATGCAGAAGTGTGTTCTGTTTGTGAAAATCCTTCCAACATCCACTGATGGTCTGGGCACTTTTCTGTATGCATGTCACACTTTGATAGAAAGTGCAACTTGCTGGAATGGAGGGGGGAAAAAAAGGGAAAAAAAGAAACAGATGCAGTTATCTTTTTCAGAGGTGCCCTGTTGGTATAAAAACTAATGAAAACCAGGACTTCCCTGTGGTCCAGCGGTTAAAAATCCTCCTGCCAAGGTAGGGGACACAGGTTAGGTCCCTCGTCCTGGAAGATTCTACATGCTGAGGGGTAACTAAGCCCATGGGCTACAACTACTGATCCCCTGTTCTGCAAACAAGAAAAGCTACCACAATGAGAAGCTGCGCACCGCAACTAGAGAATAGCCCCCACTTGCTGCAACTAGAGAAAGCCCAAGAGCAGCAACAAAGACTCAGCACAGCCAAAAATAAAAGGAAAAAATAACCTAAGGAAAGCAGGGAATTCCCTGGCAGGCCAGTGGTTAGTATTCTCATGGCCAAGGGTCTGGGTTCAGTCCCTGGTTGGGGATTGAAGATTCCACAAGCCATCAACCAAGTGAAAACAAATGAGAAGCAGAGAAATGATGACAGCTGAAGTCAGGATGATGGTTACCTGGGCATGGAAGAAAGAATTGTGATGGGGCAGTGGGGGTAGGACATCAGTGGTGCTGGCACTGTCCTCCCTGATCTGGGTAATGATGACTCAAGTGTTAAAAAATCATTACTTAAAATAATATATTAATTTATTTGGTTGTGCAAGGTCTTAGTCACAGCATGCGGAATCTTTCAGTTTCAGCATGCGACCGCTGAGTTGCAACAGCTGGGATCTAGTTCCCTGACCAGGGATCCAACCCAGGCCCCCTGCATTTGGAGCCTGGAGTCCTAGCCACTGGACCACCAGGAAAGTCTTTGAATCATAATTATTTTTTAATTGCACAAATTGCAATTTTTTTTCCCACATTTTGGTGGTGTCATAGAGCCAGCTTACACTGACTCGTGAGAACTGATTAATAACTTTTCAGAAAATTGGCTATATCACACCAACATCATATTGATAGCTTGAAATTGGCCAGAAACCTGTAACTGCTACAAATCAAGACCTTTTTGTTTCTGGAGAGTCCCTTGAGTTGTTTTTCCTTTTTTTGTTTTTTGTCTTGTTGTTTTTTCATATTTTTAAAAATTGAACTATAGTTGATGTACAATGTTGTGTTAGTTTCAGGTGTGTATATATATACACACACACACACACACACACATATATACATATGTGTGTTGTGCTTAGTCACTCAGTCGTGTCTGACTCTGCAACCCCTTGGACTGTTGCCTGCCAGGCTCCTCTGTCCATGGGATTCTCCAGGCAAGAACACTGGAGTGGGTTGCTGTGCCCTCCTCCAGGGAATCTTCCTGACCCAGGGATCAAACCCAGATCTCTGACATTTAAAGCGGATTCTTTACCGTCTAAGCCACCAGGGAAGCCCATATATATATACATATATATATATATACACACACATATATATACATACACATATGTATGTATATATGTGTACATATATATATACACATATATGTATGTATATATATGTGTGTGTATATATATGTGTGTGTGTATATATATGTGTGTGTGTATATATATATATATATATGTGTATATATATATACACATTCTTTTTTGGATTCTTTTCCCTTGTAGGTTATTACAAAATATTGAGCATAGTTCCCTATACATAGTAGGTCCTTGTTGGTTATCTGTTTTACATATAGTAGTGTATATATGTTCCCCTGGAGGAGGGCATGTCAACCCACTCCAGTATTCCTGCCTCGAGAATCCCATGGACAGAGGAGCCTGGTGGGCCACAGTGCATGGGGTCGCAAAGAGTCGGACATGACTGAAGTGACTTAACACTCATGCATTCGGGGTGTGTATATTTACCCTAACCTCCTAATTTATCTCTCCCCTACTCCTTTGATGACCATAACTTTGTCTTCTATATCTGCGTGTCTATTTCCATTTTGTAAATAAGTTCCTTTGTATCTGGAGAGCCCACTGCTAAACATTGCCCCACACATGACGGCTCCTCTCTGAATGGAGTGGGTAGCCATTCCCTTCTCCAGGGTATCTGCCTGACCCATGGTTCAAATCTGGGTCTCCTGAGTTGCAGGCAGATTCTTTACCATCTGAGCCATCAGGGAAGCCTGTATATGATATTAGTTAAACATATAAAAATTATCTTTTAAATTAGGGTAACCTACACGTAACATGAAATGTATCATTAAGCGTACAGTTCAATGAACCAAAGTACATGCACATGGCTGTGTAACCATCAACACCATCCGCCATCAGAACTCTTCATCCTGTGAAACTGAAACTCTGCCCCCCCGATTTTTTTAAAATTCTTTAAAAATGTTCCCTGGAGGGAGAGATAAACTAGGAGGTTGGGGTTGACATAAACACACTGCCCTAAATAAAAGAGAAAACTAAAAAGAACCTGTTGCCTAGCACAGGGAACTCTGCTCAATGCTCTGTAGTGACCTATATGAGGAAAGAATCCAAAAAAATTAGTGGATATATGTGTATGTGTAACTGACTCACTTCGCTGTACACTGAAACTAACACAATATTGTAAATCAACTCTACTCCAATAAAACCGTTAAAATTTTTTTTTTTTTCTTTTGGAGAGCATGGGCTCTGGAGCCAGAGGCCCTTCTTAAACTTCAATCCCCACTTTCACCTATTAGCTAAACTTGGACACCTTATGTCACTGTTGTTTCCTCATCTGTAACATGGAGACAATCTCAGTCCCGATCTCATAGTTCAGTGGTTCTCTAACGTGTGGCTTCTAGAGACTTCCCTGGTGGTCCAGGGGATAAAACTCCACACTCACAAGGCAGGGGTCCCAGGTTCAATCCCTGGTCAGGGAACTAGATCCCATATTCACAATTAAGAGTTCAGAGGCCACAACTATTAGTAAAAAGATCCCACATGCTGCAGCTAAGACCCAGGGCAGCCAAAACTCTCTTTTCCACTTAGCCCAGCAGCCCACTAATCTGACTGCTGCCCCTTCTCACCTCATTAAAGGTGATCTGTTCCTGTAAAGTGCCGGTTTCATGTTTGTTTGTTTTTTTCTCAAACCTCGCCTTTTCTAACTCCCTTTCCTTAGACACTCCAGTATTCTTGCCTGGAGAATCCCATGGACAGAGAAACCTGGCCGGCTACAGTCCATGGGGTCGCAAGAGTCAGACACAGCTGAGCACGCACACACATACAGATTCTCAGATGCTCTGCAAATAGTGCCCAGCAATCTGTATTTAACAAGACCTCCAGAGTCTGAGGCTTGCTCAGATTTTGAGAAGCATTATCATAGGTTATGGAGAGGATTACATTGATTAAACAATATCTGAACTATTTAGAGCGGTGCCTGGCCCCATAACCCACACAGTGTAAGCGATCAGTATTATTATTACAGAAGAGGCCCAGGACCCTAGCAGTAGGGTGGTAATGAGGGGCTGGTTGCGCACTCCCTCCTGGTCTGGTGGGGGTCTGGGTTCCTGGTGATAGCTTACAGTGAACGGTGTCAGATTCATGATCTCCAAAGAAGATTTAGCTTCGGAACCAGGCACCAGCTTGATCACTCAAGAGCTGTTGCATAGCAGAGTTTTACTAAAGTGAAAAAGAGACAGAGAAAGCTTCTGACATACACATCAGAAGGGGGACAGAGAGTGCTCCACTCTCTAGTCTTAGCAAGGGAGCTATAGACTTTTCAATTGGTTATTAACAATAAATCAAAAGAATGTCTCAAAGTTATAAAGGTCTTACCAGACCCACTCCCACAATATACATTTTATAAGATGATAGGATTAGTCAGAAGGTTCTCAAGAAAGAGAAACATATCCTCAAGCAGGATACATTGCTGTTATATAGTCATTGGTACAGAGTTTAAGGAAAAACATATTTGAGCAAGATGAGTTGTTTTGTTGTTCAATCATCAGCTCAGGAAATGGCAACCCACTCCAGTATTCTTGCCTGGAGAACCCCAGGGACGGAGGAGCCTGGTGGGCTGCCTTCTCTGGGGTCGCACAGAGTTGGACACGACTCAAGGACTTAGCAGCAGCAGCAGCAGCAGCAGCAGCAGCTCAGGGCTTAAAGAAAAAAACGTTTGTCTTTTTCTCCTCCTGGAGGACTCCAGACCCCGATCTCATCCTGGAGGACTCCAGACCCCGAGCTCCTCCTGGAGGACTCCAGACCCCGATCTCATCCTGGAGGACTCCAGACCCCGAGCTCATCCTGGAGGACTCCAGACCCCGAGCTCCTCCTGGAGGACTCCAGACCCCGAGCTCCTCCTGGAGGACTCCAGACCCCGATCTCATCCTGGAGGACTCCAGACCCCGAGCTCCTCCTGGAGGACTCCAGACCCCGATCTCATCCTGGAGAACTCCAGACCCCTTTCTCCTCCTAAGAAATGACCTACCTAAGAATTGACTCTCTCACTGGTCTCTGCTGAGCGGAGGCCTTCTCACCTCTCTCTGTTGAAGATGACAGCCGGTGATGACAGCTGGGCCACGTCACCCTATTCCTTCCAAAGGTTATCACTTGGTCCAGGAAATGGGAAAGGTCAGGGTTTGGTGGTGGGGGGCATGCCTGCCTCCCCTCTGCTGATGGAGATAAACGAGGTCACTCTGCTCCTACAGGACAGGAGGGGGAAGCGAAGATGTATAAATGAGGGGCCAGGAGGTGGTAGAGGCACCAGTCACCAGGAAGCTGCCTTGCTGTGCCCATTCTCGCATCTCAGGCAGCCCCGTCCAGCATGCTCAGACACCTGGTGCTGTTGCTGGCCGTGGGGCTGCTGGCTGGGGAGCTGTTGCCGAGGACCGAGGCCCGGGCAACACCCTACGGAGTGAAACTTTGCGGCCGTGAATTCATCCGAGCAGTCATCTTCACCTGTGGGGGCTCCCGGTGGAGACGTGCCCGTGACGCTGTGGGTAAGGCTGGGGAGGTAGTGTGTGTGGCCACGGGATTGATGGGACATGAGGTGGGTCCCAGAAAGCAGAGACGGAGGTGAGATGCGGGGCTGGGGCAGGAAGGTCCCTCCTGCACCACATGCAGCTGGGGAGATGGGCCAGGCCCTTGAAGCTGTGCCAAGGCTGAGGAAGCCAGTTGGCAGAGCTGCAGAGCTGAGATGGGGGATGGAGTGGGCGGCAAGCCATCTGAAGCAGCTAGAGGTCTGGGATACCTGCTATGTGTGAGCCCTGTGTTACGCAAGGCTGCTGTTTGCCCAACCCTGGTCAGCGCCATTCAGAAGCCGAAACTGAAGTGTTTTCCAAGCCTTCAGGGAAGGGAGTAAGAGGAGTGTGGTGAATACAAGGCTAAATTTACCACCTAATAGGTGACCCTCCTCCCAAGTTGCCTTTCTTCCCTGATCCCCTTTATCTGCAAATAGGAGGCACAGCTCCTGTATCTTGCACAGTTGTTAAGTGGCAAAATTGAGTATAAACTGATTAAGACAGAACTGAGTGCTTACCATATATCAGATGCTATTTTAAGTTTGTTTTTTTAATGCTTTTTTTTTTTGATGTGGACCATTTTTAAAGTCTTTGTTGAATTTGTTACAATACTGCTTCTGTTTCAAGAGGCATGGGGAATCTTAGCTCCCCGACCAGGGATCAAATCTGCATTCCCTGCATTGGAAGGCAAAGTCTTCATCACTGGACCATCAGGGACGTCCCAGGAGTTATTATTATCCCCACTTTGCAGACAAGGAAGCTGAAGCTCAAGGGTGATAACTGGACTAGGGCTCAGTCAGTTCAGCCCCCAGACATGTGTTTTTCACCATCAGGTCCTCAATAACTAAGTAGGAGGGGAAAAGCTGGGCTTCCCAGGTGGCACTAAAGGTACCCAAACCTTCCTGACAAGATGCGGGTTTGATCCCTGGGTTCGATCCCTGGGTTGTGAATGTCCTCTGGAGGAGGGCATGGTAACCCACTCCAGTATTCTTGCCTGGGGAATGCCATGGACTGAGGAACCTGGCGGGCTATGGTTTATAAGGTTGAAAAGAGTCGGACCCAACTGAAGTGACTTAGCACGCAGGGGAAAAGCTGTGACAGAGGAGGAAAGTCAAGTTCAGTGGGGTTAAACTGCTCATCAAAGAAGGAACCCACATCTGAGCAGAATCAAAGTCTATACTCACGAGGCTTAGTCACACTCCAGAACAGAGAAGTAGTTGGGCCAGCCCCGAGCTGTGACTCTGGGTGTGACACAATCCCGAGCACTAACTCTTCTCATCTTTTGCAGAAGATGCCTTCCCAGAGGTGGACACTGACTCGGAGAGTGAGCTGGATGAGGCAGTGGCCTCCAGCGAGTGGCTGGCCCTGACCAAGTCCCCTCAGGCCTTCTACGGGGCCGGACAGGGCTGGCAGGGAACCCCAGGGTCTTTGCGGAGCAGACGCGACGTCCTGGCAGGCCTGTCGAGCAACTGCTGCAAGCGGGGGTGCAGCAAGAGTGAAATCGGCAGACTCTGCTAGAAGCGGAACTGGGCAGCAGGGGGGCACCGGGGTGAATGCCCCAGCCCTGCCATCCACCTGGCTGGTATCTGGCTGGGCACTTGTTTCTGGTCCCTCACGCATTCATTCATCAGCAAGTCACGGAGGTCCGGCACTGTGGGCTCAGAGTCCCCCCCACCCAACCCCGATCTTTGAGCAGTCCATCCCACCCATGAGCAAGCTATGCCCCAACCTGGCCAAATGGGGACCCTGACGTCTGAGCAGCCCATATGATGCCTTTCCTGGCCTATTCTGTCTCCTACTGTCCCTACTTACCCAAACTGGCCACACTCAGACCCTTGCCCAAGCTGTGACTCTCTCTTGTCCCACCTGTGGCCACTCACCAGCTCAAACTATACCCCCACTCCATTTCAGCCTTCCTGCCTGCCAGCACTTCTGCCTGCTAGCCCTTCTCCCTCCAACCCCGCCCGTTGCGGGGAGGGGGGCGGTTCTAAAGCTGTAGACCCCAGGGTTGGTGGAGGGACTCCTGGGTTTTCTTCATATCCTGGGGTGGGAAGCTCAATGTGTGTGTGGTGGGAACGGATCAGAATCTTCTCCAGCCCCTCAAAATAAAAAGTTGCAAAAGACTTGGCAGTATGTGTTGTTTGGGGAGGGAAGGGGCAGGTATCAAGGGAGCTTCGGCCACGCCCTCAGCGCAGCCCCCTCCCCCGCCCAGACTCCCTCCCCAGCCCCTGCGAGCTCTGCCGGGAACTTTCCGGTGCAGAGAAGGGGCGGGGACCCGGAGCGCAAGGTGCGGAGGCGGCCGGGAGGGGTGGCTCTGCTTCCCGTCGCCACTCAGGCGTTGGTTCCCGAGAGCGAGGCGGGCGGCGCGGCAGCGCTGGGCCCGGCAAGGCCGGGCCGGACTAGGGGGGCGCGGGAGTGCCATGCGGGGGGCCCCGGCCGCCCCCATCCCACCGCGGCCGAAGCCGATGCTGCTGCTGCTGCTTCTGTTGTTGCTGTTCTGCCGGACTCGGCCCCAGGGTGAGTTCTGGAGCGAGCTCGTGTCTCATGCTCGCGAAAGCGCCCATCCTCCAGGGTGACCCTCAAGTGTGCGGAATGAATGGCCGAGGTCCAGAAGCCGCTTTGCTCTCCCCGGCCCCGGGCTAGGGGCCGGGTGAGGCGAGGGGTTGGGGAATGGGCGGTAGCGAGGTGGGAACTTGAGGCCGGGGTTTGAGGCGGGGGTTGAGTAAGGGCTTTTGTCGGGGAGTTGGGGGGGGGGGGGGTAGTTAACAGGATGTGGCTGGTGGGAGGGGAGGAGTCATGCCCAAAGCCTGGGGAGCGGTGCCCAGCGCCCCCTTCCTGCTGCTCGCTTCAGTAAGGGACCCTGGATCGCCCTCCACAGTTGTCAGCAGTTCTGGGGTGTGCCCGAGGCTGGGGGAACTGACCCCCTTCCTTGAGACCCTCCTGCCTCCCTCTCCAGGCAGCCCGGGGCCCCTGCAGTGCTATGGAGTTGGACCCTTGGGCAACCTGAACTGCTCCTGGGAGTCTCCTGGGGACCTGGGAGCCCCCTCCATGCTGTATGTCCAGAGCCAGAAGTAGTGAGTACAATGGGGTAATTGGGGGGCACTGAAGCCACTCAGGTTCTAGCCTTCTCAGAGGACCCATTCGTCCTGCCCACCCTCACCTCCCAGCCCTGCCCCACTCTCAAGCACTTCAGTTCCAGATTCCCTCCTTCCCTTGCTGTGTTACCATGAACCAGTCACTTTCCCTCTCTGAGCGCCTATTTCTTCCTCTCTCAAATGCTGATAATAATGGAACCTGGTTCCCAGCGTTGGTTCTGAGAATTCAGTGAGTTTAGGCACTTGGGAAAGAGAAAATGCTTAATGACCAGGAGTTGTTTTTTATTGCTGTGTGACCTTAGGCAAATAGCTTAACCTCTCTGAGAATCTGGAAAGATCATTTGGTCTGGTGCTGGGGGTGAAACAGTGAAAGAGACACAGAAAGCCTCATGGAGCCCACAGTCCGAGGGGTTGACTGATATTGCCTCACGATGAATCACACTTGGAAACTCAAATTCATCTCAAATTTGGCTGTGAGAGGAGAGGAAAAGGAGCATTTGAAGATGGGAACTGGCATGGGAGGTTGGTTTGTTGTTTTTTTTTTTTAATGGTGGTAAAGTGCACATAAAATTTACCCCCTTTTTCCTCAATCTTTTTCTTTTGGCTGTGCTGGATCTTCTTTGCAGCTCAGACTCTAATCGTGGCTTGAAGGCTTCTCACTAGTTGCGGTGCAGGAGCTTAGTTGCCTCTAGGGCATGTGGGATCCCAGTTCCTTGACCAATAATCCATCCCGCATCCTCTGCTCTGACAGGTAGATTCTTAACCACTGGACAACCAGGGAAGTCCCCTCAATCTTTTTAAAGTGTCCAGTTCAGTGGCATTAAGTTCAGTCACGCTGTTGTGCAGCCATCACCACCATCCATGTCCAGAGGGGTTTTAATTTGTAGAGTTTAATTTGTAGAGAAAGGAAGAGGGCTTCCCAGGTGGCGCTGATGGTAAAGAACCCACGTGCCAATGCAGGAGATGTAAGAGACATGGGTTCGATCCCTGGGTTGGGGAGATCCCATGGAGGAGGGCATAGCAACCCACTCCAGTATTCTTTCACGCCGGTATTCTTGCCTGGAGGGTCCCAGGAACAGAAGAACCTGGCGGACTGCAGTACATAGGACTGCAAATCAACTTAGCATGCATGCTTGCACGAGGGAATAAGAAAAAGTCTCCTCTCTTTTTTTCTTTTTGAAGAATAAACAGTCAATTTTATTGGGCTCAGACTAGGAATCCATGAGTCTTGAGGACCTCTGTGAATTTGTCAGTTTTCTTCTTGATGTTCTTTTCTGCCTGCTTCGGTAGCCTCGTGAGCTGCTGCTTTTTCCGATAGTGGATCTTGGCTTTCTCCTTTCTCTTCTCGTCCAGGGTGGCCGTTACTGCCTGGTCCTTCCAGCCAACCTCATGAGCCAGGCGCCCTAGGTAGGCAAACTTCCGAGTAGGCTTCAGACGCACAACTTTGAGGGCAGCAGGAAGCACCATAGGCTTTTTCTTGTTACAGGGTGGTGGGATCCCATCAAACACCTCGAGGCGCTCCAGAGCAGCCTGGCCTCAGTTGGTGTGGGGCAGCATGTCTCACGCTGGCCGCCAGAAGATGCGGCTGGGGCCTCGGAAGTGGCAGGGGTCGCGGGAGGGGTTGGTGCTCGTCCGCTTGCGGAGAAAGACCAGGTACTTCAACTTATTTCTGTAGAAATTGCCAGAAATGTTGATGTCCTCACAGCGCACGACCGCACGCAACCTTCCGGCCCAGAAGTAGCTGTTTGGCCTCGGTGGCCGCCAGGCGGCCCAGGAGATGGCCTCGGCCGTCGAACACCAGGACCTGCCCCTCCACCATCTTCGGCAGCCACCTGGGCAAGCTTTTTTTTTAAAATTTTAATGAGGTGAAATTTGCATAATGTGAAATTAACCATTCGTAAGTGAACAGTTCAGTTGCTGTTAGTATTTCACATTGTTGTTTCATTCCAGAACATGTCCATTACCACCAAAATGAAGTTGCATCCCTAACAACAGTTAATCCCTGTCCCCTGACAACTACTGATCTACTTTCCATCCCTTTGATTTGCCTGTCCTGGACATTTCTCCTAAGTGGAATCATACCTTATGTGGTCTTTTATATCTATATACATTCACGTAGCATGTTTTTCAGGTTCATTATGTTGTAGCATGGACCAGAACTTCATTCCTTTTTTTGTAGCTGAACAATATTCTACTGTAATGGATACACTGTGTTCGTCTACTCATCTGTTAATGGACACTTGGGATGTTTCCACCATTGAACAATTGCAGTGGGTGATTGTGACTAGCACTACTGAGAATGTATGTGTGCAAGTTTTTGAGTCCTTCTTTTCAGTTCTTTGGGGGTATATGCCTAGGAGTAAAATTGCTGGGTCAGTTGGCAATTCTGTTTAACTTTTTGAGGAACCAACTGATTTCTGCAACAGCTGCACCATTTTATGTTCCTACCAGCAATGTAAGAGGGTCCCAATTTCTCCACATCTTTGCCAGCATATGTGTTTTTTGGTTTTGTTTTTGTTTTTAAATGACGGCCTTGATTTGAACCTTTGAAATCCAATCCTTTGGGACATCCTCAATCCTCTCTCTCTAACCCACATTTGATCCATCAGCAGGCCTTGCTAACATTATCTAGAATCTGGCACACCTTACTTCCTGAGCACCCACCATGGTCCTGTCCCCATCATCGCTGGCCTGGACCCCACAGTCACCTCCCCTCAGGACTCAGGCTTCCATCCTCACCCCCACAGTCTCTTCTCTACCATGGCATCCAGTGGGCGCCTGTGAACTTCTGCATCAAAACACTTCCCTCCCCTGCTCACAGCACCCCAGGGCTCCCTGCTCACTCAGGGTAAAAGCCAGAATCCTTCCTGCTGTCATCTGAACAATCTACTGTCACCTCCCTGCCTCGCCTCCTCCCACTTCCACCTTACTCTGTTCCAGGATGCAAGCCTCCTCCTCACTGTTGCTCAGAAAATACCAGGCACAGGGGCTTCCCTGGGGTCGTTGTTGTTCAGTCGCTAAGTCATGTCCAACTCTTTTCGATCCCATGGACTGCAGCACGCCAGGCTTCCCTGTCCTTCACTATATCCCAGAGTTTGCTCAAACTCATGTCCATTGAGTCAGGAGTCAGTGATATTATCTAACCATGTCTTTCCTGGTAGCTCAGTGCTAAAGAATCCACTTGCCAGTGCAGGAGACTTGGCTTCGATCCCTGGTCTGGGAAGATCCCACGTGCCACAAAGCTACTAGGCCCGTGTGCCACAACTGTTCAGCCTGTGCTTGCATGTGCTAAGTCGCTTCAGTCGTGTCCGACTCTTTGCGACCTCATGGATCGTAGCCCACCAGGCTCCTCCATCCTTGGGATTCTCCAGGCAAGAATACTGAAGTGGGTTGCCATGCCCTCCTCCAGAGGATCTGCTCAAC